AGAGTGACAGTCTGTCACACCACTGTCCCCATTGTGATTTCTCTATTTCCATGGTGTAACAAGATAGGAGTGGCCTTTGCATAGGACAATGCCTATAGTGGCCTGTGGGAGGCTGCTGGCAGGAAGAAGAGCAAAAGTTCCAGCTGCTCCCTGAGCTGAAAAGTCTGGGCTGATGCAGATGACTAGCTGTACAAGCTTGCTGGTGACAGTCAAGTTGTCTTGCCCCCCTCCCCCCTAAAAACAACAGGGAAAGGCTGATAGATCCCAGATGATTTCAAAGCACACTTCGGGGGAGGTATACCGAAAGCAGATACAGCTGGAATTAGGTTAAGTATAGGTTGGTGCAGCAAACACTAAGTAGGTCCAAATATCTTGCAGATTGGAGGGTTTCAAATTGAAATTTGTCAGTTGCCACTTAGGGATAATAAACATTGAACTTTGCCTTCTGTCAGCCCCGGGTCATTATGAGGAAAGAGAGTTTACTCAGAGTTGAAACTGAACAAGCAGAACAAGCATTAGAATCCAACTGTGTGTGGACATTGGGAAGGCTTACATGGGTTGAGAAATGGGCTCTTTAAAAGAAACAGAAGTCTAAGCATGAGGTGGACCTCCACAGTGCAGCCTGGTTAGAGATCTGGGTTAGCTGGCTGCTGAAGGAGCTGTGTTTCCCTGCACCATCAAAACTCACTGAGCTGGCACACTCGATTTTAAACTTGCCATTTTCAAACCTCCAGAACTGTCTTAGCATCCTTCTTATTCTTTTTAATGACTTAAATATTTAAATAATGTTAAAGTGTTCAGGCAATGTCTCTAGTTCCTGAATTTATCTAATTGTTTCTTTTTTTAAAAAAATTAGAGTCCATTGAGATATTCTTGTATAAATGCTACACAGGTGACCCTGTGTGGGCCATTCTGTCATATTAGGAGGCAGTGATATCGGTTTGTCCTGTTACAGGTCATAGTTTGACCATTTGTTACTATGGCAACTGACATGTTCTACAGTGCTACTCTCTCCCTTTGATAGCCTTCCCTGAACTCTGCTGGGGTCAGTTACTATGCAGTGTCACCAGGGTTATTATTATTATTATTTTAATTTTTGGCATTTTATTTTACATATTAGAAAGAATATTTGATACTAAATTAAGGGTCTTTCTTTCTTGAGATAGATAGATAGTTAGAAAGAGAGAGAGAGAGAACACAGGTATGGCACATACGTGGTTGTAGGAGGGCAAGTAAGGCATCCACCTCAAGCTTTCACTGTGAGGTAGGGCCCTTCCCTCAGGGTTTGCTGAGCTAGTTGGCCTGACAGAGTCCAGGAAATTCTTTTATACTCTTCTCTTGTCTCTATATACCCCATCTTGCCTAGTGAATACCAGGATTACACACACTCATACACACACACACACGCTCACACACTCATACACACAGTCACACACACATACACAGTCACACACTCATACACACATACACTCCCCACACACTCACATAGTCATACACATTCATATACACCCACATATTCACACACACACTCATACACACTTGTTCACAGACATCACAGCCACACACTCATATGCACACACTCACACACAGTCGAACACACTCATATACTACACACAAACACACATTCATAGACTCTCTCTCACACACACACACACACAGGTTCTGAGAATTCTAATCCTGATCTTCATTCTTGAGCATTCTTGAGCAGCAGGCACTTTATCTCCCCATCTCCCCATCACCGCCACACACTTTTAAACAGAGTCTCATGGAGCTGGTTCTAATTTGCTACTGTCAAAGGGTGACCTTGAATTCCAGATCCTCCACCTCTACCTGCCTTGGGATTATAGGCATATGTTACAAAGCCAGCAGATTCAGACCTTTCTGATAGCAGAGTGTATACTATACCTTCTATATGGGTGACCACCCCTCAATTCTGAAAATAAGACAGATGTCTGGGACTACTAGCAGAATACATTTGAGTACATCTCTCTTTGGAAGTCCTATTCTCTTTTTCTTTTTCTTTTCTTTTCTTTTTATTTTTCAAATAAATGGATCTCTCCTGTAATTTTAAACCTTTTTAAACCCTAAAACTCTAGCACCCACAGGGCTGTTATTCATAGGGATCACATGTGAAGGAATGTGCTTAAAAAGACACAGGATGATAGAGTCAGCATCCCCCCTCTGCATCCCATCCCACCTTTGTGATTCCTTGCTTGATTGTGTGCAGTATGCAGGAGAGAGCTGAATTCAAAGGTTGGCTTACGATGGCTTTTTTGTTAGTTTTAATTTTTTTGCTTGTTTGTTTGTGGGAATGGTTGAGATAGAGATTTGCCGTGTAGTCCAAGTTGATAGGGAATTACTGATTTTCCACCCTCAGCTTCCCAAGTGCTGGGATTACAGGCATTCGACACCCAACATTACTTTGGTTAGGGATTTTTGTTTGATTTTGTCTTCATTGACCAAGTGGGATTGACATGTTGGTGGAGCCCCCCCCCCATTCTTCCTTGAGCCAAGATCTTGGGGTTTCTTTGGGTTGGAGAGAAAAAAGGTGTGCAGATACTTTGACTGGGCTGCCTTCTGGAAGAATTTACAGAATTCCTATTCTAGAAAAATGCTGCCAAGAAGAAGGCTCCCCTGGTGGTGGTAGCTGCCAGTGCCTAGGTACAGAGCCCTGGCTGCCAGAGTGGAAGCTGGGAACAGGTGCACACCCACTTCTGTTCTCCCTGGAAGGCGTCCTTGCTTTAACAGTTATCATAAACCCAACCTCTCTGAAAATGATGGAGGGAGATGCCCCTGGTTCCACCTCACTTCTTACTGGCTCATATTTGGTGTTAATACTCTTAAACCACTCATAAAGTTGTATTGACCACATCTGCCTTAATCCGGAATGTTACAGGCACTTAAAGTCATTGTCTTTATTTGCCATCCTTTGCACTGTGTACTGTTAAATATGAGGATTTCAACAGTCTGTTTTCCAAACGTGCAAATAGCAGAGAGTGAGCTGACCTGGAGTGTGCAAGCAAGCACACCACAGAGCTGTAATCTTGAGATAAGAAGTAGAGGAAAAAGTCAAAACAGCTCAACCAAATACAAATGCAGACAAATCTGTCTTTCCCCCAGACCCTTTCCCTGGGTATGAGGGAACAAACTGGCCTTGGCGTAGGCTCTAGTGAACTTGAACTCACATACACTCACCCTCTTGGGCCCAAATGCAGACTGGACAGACTAACATCTCCATGAATTGATTCAGCAAGTATTTACTAATGTGGATCTGCTCCATAGACTCAGTCTTAAACTGTCAAAAACCAGTCTTAAGCTTCTGGAGAGGTCATGCATATTTACTGGATTCAGGAGACTCACAAGTTCTCTGCCCTCCAGGAACTTCTCTAGGATCTAGTCCACAGTGTTGTGAGGACTTAGGGCACAGCGACCACACCAGACAGTCTGAGCAGCTTTCCCAGATTCTGTGTAGCTGGGATGCAACTGCTTTAAAATCTGGGTCAACCCCAGGAATAGCTATGATAGAGCAGAAGACAGAACAGGGAATCAGGCAGAGGACTGGTGAGAGGTGTCCCCTTCCAGTGTGTGGGAGGGCCCTTCGGGGATCCGTTCAACTGATCAGAAGAGACCCGCTTAATGTCCCCAAACTGACAAACAATGGAATCAATGTCAGAGCCATGTTACAGGAACCTCGAAGAAGGGTGACTTCAGGATGTGCCCTGTGCATCTACACGTGTGAGCTCAACTGGCACTCTGGCCCAGCCACCTGGTGAGATAACCTTTAGGATCTCCTGCTTCTCTGATGAAGAAACAGACCCAGAGGTAGCTTGTTCTTCCTCTAGGATACAAACCCAGTAGAGGGTGAAGCCAGAATGAACCACTACTCTGCCTGACTTCAAACCCATGTTCTCGGTTGATGAGACAGCACTTGCCTCTATACTTGAAAACCTAAGCTTGAGCCCTGGGCCCAACACGGGGGAAGAAGAGAACTGACTGCTTCAAGTTGTCATACTATAGCACGAGCGCCCCCTTCAACACACACACACAGAGTAAATGTAATTACTTTAAAATGTAATTAATATGTATGGCTATTTTGCCTTCATGTATGTGTGTGCACCACATGTATGTCTGGTGTCCAAGGACACCAGAAGAGGGTATCATATCCCCTGAGACTAGAGTTATGGACAGTTGTGAGCCAGCAAATGGAGAGTGGGAACCAAACCCAAGTTCTCTGGAAGGGCAGCAGTCATGCTCTTAACCAGTAAGCCACCTCTCCAGCACCAATAAATGCAATTGAAAATAGCTGAGCATGATGCCTATAATATCAGCCCTTGGGAGACAGAGGCAGGAAGATCTCCCCAAATTCAAGGCCAACCTGGTCTCCATAGCAAGTTCCCAGACCTTGTCTAAAATAATAATAATGAAGAATTGTATGGAACTAAACTTGGAAAGGAAAGAATTGTTTGCTTAAACCATTTAAATATAATGCAAAGTGGAGAGTGGTCGGCGTATGTGATTCTTGCCCTGTTTTGTGGGAACTTCTGCTGGGAATGTGGCTCTATTGTACACAGAGGATGTTGGCTTTATGCTGTAACCACCAGGCAGGTTGAGTTCAGAAACAATTAGCTCAGTCAGTGAGCCTTTGAATCTGATTAAGCCAGGAAGTGGTCACTCCCCAGGACACAGCAAATGAAGAGAGTGAAGGCAGCCACTCCAAAATGAGAAATCAGTCATTGTCGTCATCGTCGTCTCCCCCTACTGCCCCCCCCCCGAAAAAGGACAGTGTTAAGAGTTTATCCTGTCTAAGTTACACCCAGGGCTCTATCATTCCTTCCATTCACCTTTGGAGAAACAATAGCTATCATCTGCAGGATTCTGTCACCCATGTTTGCAGTCATCGCAGCTACAGTCTCTAAGAAACTGATGTTTACGGAGGCGTAGCTTTCCCTGTGTTTTGGTAGCGAATTGTCTCAGAGCGAAGACTCAAGTCACAAAGGAAGATGAAGTGCCTCTACCAGGCTGCTGGCTGGACCCTGCTTGCTCTAGGGGGCCTCAGTGTCTTCTCAGGAGTCCTTGCCTTCTTCCCGGTTTTTTCCAGCAAGTTTTGGTACGCAGGATGGAGCGTTTGGATTGCCTGTCCCATCTGGAACGGGGCTTTGGTAGGGCATATCTCATTAAAACACTGATGTAAAGGGAGGTGAGAGGAGAGGGGAAGTAAAATAATATATTGGTTAAGAGTTTTCCAATAATTCAATTTTTCCTGTAGAAAATCATAATACTGAAGTTTCTATTAACTGAAATTTAAACATGTATTTGTTAGCATTGTTTCATGCGTATTTGTAGGTCATGAATACAGCAATGAAATGTTCAAGAAATTGTTATGGGGTATGGTGGCACAGACCTGTAACCCCAGCACCTGGAAGACTGAGGCAGGGACATGAGCTGGAGGCTAGCCTGGGCTACACAGTGAAGCTTTGATTATTATGCAGCTGTCCATCCCTCACAAGCTCGTGTCACCACACTGGACTTGGTTTTGACTAAGACTGAATATATTTGATATAGGCTGAGCATACAATTTATGCAAGAGAAATGACATGAGTGTCTCTAGCCATGTCACTATTGAGTGGCTACAGGAGATGGAGGGAGGCAGGCTGGGGCTGGGCACGGAGTCAGAGACACAGGGTGTAGGGAAATAGCCTGTGTTTAATCTCTGAGTTTTATATTCTCACTATGTGGTTCAAAGCAGGAGTCTTGGCCAGTTAGTTCCTTCTTGCTTTTTTCCTGTGCTGTGGGGATAGTCACGGGTAAAAAAGACACCATGTGAACAATTGTCTAACCATAAGATACTCGGAGAGGATGAAGTCAATTTGTACAGACTTCTGAGAGCTTTGTACTCAATTGTTAGCTAACACCAAGCCTTTCCCTTACCCTGTGCTCTGTCCAGACTCTGTTCTTACCCACTCCCTATCAACCCAGCTCTGATGTCCTGTTCCCTGGAGTGCAGCTTCCTGGACCTCAGAGCCAGACAGTTTGCCCTTAGCTCATATCTGCCCCTCCACATTCATGGCTGCCATTTTGAGAATGCCAAGGTGTGTTTCACCCCAGATTTGCTCTGGGGGGGGGGGTCCTTTGTCTAAAACCTTCCTGTAGCTGGCTGGCTGCCAAAACACGTTTTCAAAGGCAGGATCTCATGTGTCTCAAGCTGTTCTAGAACTCCCTATGAAGTCTAGAGCTTCTGGCCTTCCCACTTCCAACTTCTCAGTGCTGGGTTGACAAGCAAACACCCCGATGGCCAGCTTCTGCCATGCTGGAGGTCTAGCCCAGAGCTTCATGCTTCAAGGCAAGACTGAGCTGCACACCCAACTCCCCACCATCAATTCTTAACCAAGTGCCACCTTCCCACCTGCGTCTTCCCTTTTTTACCCCCTTTTAAATTGCAATCCCCTAGAGGCCAGCAGAAATGACTCAGCGGGAAAAGGTGCTTGTTGACAAGTTCGATACCTGGAACCCACATGTTGGAGAAGAGAACCCATTCCTATCAGAGGTCCTGTGACCTCCACACATGTGCTATGGTACCCATGTGCCCACTCTCCCAGCCCCACACAAAACAGACAACTAAAGCAAATAGCTTTAAAATTGTCATCCCTACCCCCATCTGTGGTACCCAGCCTTATGACCCACCCCATCTACATTACTAATAACTTAACTGCCTACTTTGCCTCATGCAAGGACATGGTTCTGCCTCTGTTTTGTTTTATTCCATCTCCAGAGCTTAGAACAAAGACAGCCACCCCACAGATTTGGGGGGAAAATACCATTTGATGGATGCTGTTGACTGAAGATTACTCCTGGGCCCTGCATTCTGGCAACACAGACTGTGTCATAGAGTTGACCTCTGATTAGGTTTTGGGGACTACAGATAAGGCTGGGGTCTGTGCAGGAGGAACCCCCCCCCCAGGAAGCAGTGCAGTTCTTACTCCTCCCATGTCTAAATTCAGAACAATAGTTTTTTTTCCTCTTGAGTTTTCTACTAAGCTACAGTTTTGTCTGATGAAGGTCAGCCTCAAAAGGCCTCTACCTTACTCCCCACCACCCCTGCCAATCACTTCTTTAATGGCTGCTGAGACACAAACTCCAGTGAAATAATGACTTATGTATTTCAATCATATTGCCATTTCCTTTACAAATGACTCCGGTCTTTTGTTTTTTTTTTTTTTTTTTGTTTTTGTTTTTGTTTTTGTTTTTGAGATATATAAGAGAGAAGTTTTTCATATGATATAGTCCCTTGAATTCATTCGAAGCTTTTATTCAAATCTTTTTAAAGTCGGGCCCCGTGTTTGGTTCACACACCCTCCTAACGCTGTTCTGAAAGCCCCATGGCACACGGTTCTCCTAGTATGTCTGAGCAAGGTTATTTAAAGGCATCAGCTGCTAGGAAGCTTGCAGCCAGCAGGTCACAGTACCTTCAGCGCTGAGCCCTGATAATCCTGGAACACATGGCCTGCAGAGCCATCTCTGATAGAGATTGGGTCCCCTAAGTCTGATCAAAGGACCCACAACTAGAGAGCCTGGGGTCTTGTCCAGAAACAAGCCACAGCCTAGCTCCCAGAGTCTTGAGATTACATGATCAGAGTTCCACTTGAGCCCTGCAGAGAAGGCTTTTCTCACTGTTACAGAAGGAGCTTGGCTATGTGGGAGCTTAGCAGTCATGGGACTTCCATATCTACCCGACAGTAGCAAAGGAAAGGCAATGTTTGGCACGAAGGCAGAGTTTACTCAGTACTAATGAAGAATGGAAAAAGGAGGCCTCAGTACAGGCCCAGGTTCAACTCCAGATACTACAGCACAAGAGAGAATGTAGGTCAAGGAACAAGCAGGGTGTGGGACAGTGGATAGGAAATTACTAAGAGGAAACAGTGAGGAGAAATGATAGGGATTTTTGCTGAGGACAGACTAGGTGATCAGGCATTGTCTGCCAGGTGATGCTGAAGGATGAAGAGACCGAGTGCATAGTTAATCAAACATTACTGGCTTTGAGGATGAGCTGCTCTATTGATCTATTGCTATGTTTTATTTATTCAATTCATCTATTGTGTGTGCCCCTGTGCTCCTGTGGAGGGCAGAGAGCAACATTCAGTAGCCAGTTCTCTCCTTCTGCCCTGGGGGTGGAGGGGTCAAACTCAGGTCTTCAGCTTGGTAGAAAGTGCCTTTACCTGCTGAGCCGTCTCATATGCCCCCAACTAAGACTTTACAAGGAAGTGCTGATTCTGGTAATTTGCCTGAAGTCAGGCTAAGCAAACTGATCTTTGTCAATGGTTCATTTCCCACTTAAATGGTCTAAGCCTGTCTAGAAACAAATTAGTCATCTCGTCATCCAAACCAATTCTTTCTTCTCCAACTTCCCTTTCTTTGTGTTGGGAAATCAATTTCAAACCAAAAATGACCTTTGACTCAATTCTTTCTGCTAAAGTAGACTCTTCTCAGATTGTGCAAACACTGGGGATCTGTGCAGCAGGGTCAGTACTGGGGATCTATGTGGCAGGGTCAGCACTGGGGATCTGTGCAGCAGAGTCAGCACTGGGGATCTGTAGCCAGCAGGGTCAGCACTGGGGATCTGTGCAGCAGAGTCAGCACTGGGGATCTGTAGCCAGCAGGGTCAGCACTGGGGATCTATAGACGGCAGGGTCAGGGCTGGGGATCTATAGATGGCAGAATCAGCACTGGGGATCTGTGCAGCAGAGTCAGCACTGGGGATCTATAGATGGCAGGGCCAGCACTGGGGATCTGTAGATGGCAGAATCAGCACTGGGGATCTATAGATGGCAGAGTCAGCACTGGGGATCTATAGATGGCAGAGTCAGCACTGGGGATCTATAGATGGCAGGGCCAGCACTGGGGATCTATAGATGGCAGGGTCAGCACTGGGGATCTATAGATGGCAGGGTCAGCACTGGGGATCTATAGATGGCAGGGTCAGCACTGGGGATCTATAGACGGCAGGGTCAGCACTGGGGATCTGTGCAGCAGAGTCAGCACTGGGGATCTGTAGCCAGCAGGGTCAGCACTGGGGATCTATAGACGGCAGGGTCAGGGCTGGGGATCTATAGATGGCAGAGTCAGGCTAGATTACTCTGGGGCCTCAGCAGTGCTTGTTAGGCAGCTGCCACTTACCAGCTCTGGCAGGAGGGATGAGATTCTAAAGACATAGGTTCACCCCTCCCTTTGTTCATGAAGCTATGGAAACAATGGACCCCAAGGAATTGGAACTCCCTCAGGGGTCTCATGCTGAGAGAAGGAAGGAAAAAGTACCCATCTCTACATGAAGGCTCCACATAGTTCCCATAGCTTGGCAGACCACCTTGATAGATCGAATGCAGGCAGTTATGGGTCAGTCGTGGTGGGTGCACATACTGACCAATACTGCTTAGTTGCTCACATTTCTTATCCTCTGAAGATACATGTCATTTGGGAACCAGAATGTGAACTTGGAGGATCAGTATTTCTTCTTCCTCCTAACATGCCCACCTTTCTCTAATTCTCTCTACTGTCATTATTTGGCCTTTTGAGGATAGGTGGCTTAGTCAGGCTTGCTCATCCTGCCAAGGCCCAAGCTAAAAGTTTTAGTGCCATGCTGTCAGATCTAGGCCTGCACTGTGGAGCAATGCCCTAAGGCAGCCCTGATTAAATCACCTGCCATGGGGCATTGCATTTTCCCAGCATGTGTCCTAATGTACACCTTCCTTCTGCTCCTGGCTGTGCTCCTTCCCTTTTCCACCCTACTCAGAGTTTATGTCTAGGCAACCCTGAAGGCCAAGCCTAATAGATATATGCATTAGCAGATTATAAAACCAATGTATCGGGCAGCCAACAGCAATTGTAATGAATGGAATACAATAGAATAGAGAAGATACGGCACTGAATATATCAGATATAAAATTAGACTGATAGGATTCGGGATGTAGCTCAGTTGGGCAGGTGCTTGCTTAGCATTTGTGAGGCCCTAGGCTGGATCTCCAGCACCACCTAAACTGGGCGTGGTGGTGAAGAATGCCAGTACTTGGGAGGCAGAAGCAGGAAGAGCAGAAGTTCTAAGTCACCCTCAGGGGAGTTGGAGGCTAACCCGAGGCATGTGACATTGTAACCACCCTAGAAGGAATGAAGATGTCTAAAGAGACACCATGCCTTCCCTTTGACCATGAAACCTTCGAAAAAGTGAATTCTAAGTAATTGGAGTATCCCCAGGATTCCCAGACAACTTTGGGACAACAATGGCAGGAACCCACCTTGGTCAGCTGCGACTGCTCACCTGTGCCTGCTTACTTTTGGCTCTGTTTAAACCCAAACCTCCTAGGAAGACACTAAAGAAGAACTTGGCAGAGACGGGTGGACCTCTCAGTACTTCACACTGGGAGGATAGGTGGCTGATGTGGCTTGTTAGGGCTACAAAGGTCCCTAATAGCACTGCTAACAAGACCCTGTTAAAAAAAAAAAAAAAAAAAAAAAAAAGGTTTGTAACTAAACCAAGATACAAGTTGTACTGCCCGATGTAAGTCAAGTTTCAAGTCTAAAGAGCAGGATCCTGCAGGGACCCCAAGGCCACACCTGTTCCAGTCCAGCCTGCATGAAACATCTGCCTCAGATGTCTAAACTCTCGTGTGATCAGGCTAGCTTCTTCAAAGTCACCGAGCTACTTGACCATCCCTGGATTCACTGCAGCTGTACTGACCTAACCTGTGAGGTCCTCCACACACACACACACACACACACACACACACACACCTCCCCCCCCCACTCCCCACCCCCCCCCCACCCCCGTGTAACATAGATTTCAACTCTGATTTTCTGCTTTTTCCACCAAAACCCCACCCTGCTGCAGGCCTGGCTCCTCCCTGTCTGTGCCCCAAGCACAATGTCACTCCCGCACCTCTGCAGATGCTGGTCTCCAGCTGGCCTGCTCTCACCTGTCATGGCCATGGAAATGGAAGCCATCCTTCAACCTTGCTCCGGGCTCGATTTGTCCTGGAGCCTTCATCCCTTTCCCAACCACACTCAACACCACAACCACACACTTCTTGTATCCCAAACTCTCATTCTTGTCTATTTTTATTTTGTTTTTGTTAATAAATTTGTTGTTTTGTTCTTAATGTGTGTGTGTGTGAGAGAGAGAGAGAGAGAGAGAGAGAGAGAGAGAGAGAGAATCTCGGAGTCAGAGGCCAAAAGAGATCCATCAGGCCCCTTGGCACTGGCACCAGGCCTGCCATGGGTGTTGGAAATGAACTCAGGTTCTCTATGAGAACTATATACACTCTTAACTGCCGAGCCATCTTTTCACAGCCTCTCCAATGGGGATGTTGTATGTGTTCATTATTTTTTGATCTAGATCACAAATCCCAGTGAGAGAGGAATCGTGCTTCATGCAGTTACTTGGTGCTCTTGTTCGTCTCATACAGCCTCTTAGCTTCCTTTGAAAAGCAGGAGAATAGCTTCACGTCAGTTCATTGAACTTTAGTCTTAAGAGCCTAGTTTCGATGTGAAATGTCCTCCATAAGGTGAGGGGCTTGAACACTTGGTCCCTGGCTAGTGGCACTATCTGAGAAGCTTTGGGACATGGACTCTCACTGGAAAAAGTCAGTCACGCAGGGCAGATCCTGAGGCCTTGTAGCTCAGGTCCATCATGAGTATAGCTGCAACTGAACAGCCAGCCTCCTGCTCCTGCTGCCATGTCTTCTTGTCCACGATGAACAGTATCTCCCTGAAATTCAGCCAATATACAATTCTCCCTCCCTGGAGCTGCTTGCATGGCAGAAATAAGAAAGTAACTAACTCAGGGTCCCACATAGTGCAGGCTGGCCTCAGATTCTCTGTGTAACGGAAGGTGACACTGAATTTCAGACCCTCCTGCCTCTGTGGACCGAGTGCTAGGACTACAAACGTGTGCCACCATGCCCACTTCACGAGAAGCTGGGATCACAGTCAGCGCTTTGTGTGTCGGGAAGGCATGCTGCTGGCAGAAGTGCATCTTCAGCCTCATTGTACACATGCAGTGTGTTAACACTGGCGTGCGCACCACCGTATCTGCCCTGTACTCAGTCGGTATGAGACTTGCTATCATCCCTTATCTGCACCAGGATTGCCTCACTCCTTGTTGTAGCAGACCCACAATAGATGCTAAGCTGTACATTCTTCTATCTTCGTATGATGCCTCTAAAACTGCTTCCTTCAATTCACTTGCTTCTGGGAACGGTGTGCTGTACTTAAGCAGCTTTAACATCTAGTAGAAGGGCTCACAATTACCAGGAAGGCAAGCCAATAGCATGGCAGAGGGAGGGAGTGCTCTCTTTCCTCCAGCAGAGGCTCAGCACCTCCCTCCCTGTCCTTCCTCAACCCACACTGATGGACCAGTCCTTTGCTTCCCAGTCACCCTCTTCTTCCTCCTTTTCATTTCCCTCTTGACTTCTGCTTCCTTCTCTCCAGTCTCTTCCTTTTTCACCCTTTCCTCTTCTTATCTAAATATAGGAGGTGGCATCAGGAAGGTAGGTGGATATGCTCAGCTCTGGCACCCCGTCCCATCAGCCAAGAGAATATAACAAGTTACCTAACAGCCATATCCTAGGCTGCTACTCAGTGAAAGAGCTTTGTCAGAGCTGTGTGTAAACAAAAGGCAAAATTCAAGCTGGCTGCTGCGACCAAAATAACAGGAAACTGCAATTCTGCAGTGATTTTCAGCTTTCAAAAGGAAAGAAACTCCTGCCAACATGCTTACGACAAGCTAGACTCTCAGCATCCCATAATGGAAGCTGTCTTCCAGAGCTCAGCCAGCAGACAGGAGTAGTCCACTACTCTCCTGCTTCTGAGCTTCTCTGATTGATGACAGGTGAGTGCTGTGTCACTCTGGAAGTTAGACAGCCCGGGGCTCCAGTTCTCTGCTTAGTAAGTCTCCCATTTGTTGTACGGTGTGTGCTGCCTCTGCCTCCCTAACATCCCCTGGCAAGGTCTCTCTAGCAGAAGCAAGCCAGGAGCCTCTTTCAACTACAGATGGTCCTGATTTTATCCACAGGACATTCATGGTAGACACATGCCAAGTCTGCTATCTTGGGCTCGGCAGCCAGAGCCATGTGTGAGCAGGAGTTTCCATCTCCCAGTTTCTCTAAATCCAAGTTTCAAAACAGTAAACACACCAAACTTGGAACTCTGCAAGCAACATCCCACTAGATCACATGGGCAAAGCTCTGCTTTCCCGATTGAATCCAGCAGTTTCATGTATGCCATCATATTTAGTCCTCTGCCAGAATCAAAATTGTGCTGTTCTGAAACCTTTCCACAGTCCCTTAGTCTCTTCTGAACTTTCTCTCTGGACCTCAGAAGCTCATGCTTTGCTTAAGAGTGAGAATTTCTGTGGTTTGGGGAGAAGTGGTTTCTAGTCTCAATAACCACAAATAGCTCCTTCATCAGACCTCACGATGAATCCAAGATGAGCTCAGAGATTCTTTTTCCATTATCTACTGTAACATTCTGGACACACCATACGCTCCTTTATTAACTATTTTCCTTCTGTGCTTTGAGTCTCTTTTTTTAACATGGACTATAGAAAAAAATCTTCATAAAAGTAGACACCACTGCACCCAGAACACTAAATGTCATGCTGCACATTGTCCTAACGACTGTCTTTGTTGGTTAGGAGACAGTGGTCATGTGTCTGCATCCCATCGGCAGGTCAAGGCCACAAAATGAAAAGCAAGCTGTGAAAGACCAGGCCCTTGCTAGGAACACTTCAGGCCTTGAAAACAGGTCTCTGCTCCAGTTTGTCCCATTTGCAGCTTTATAAATTTGCTGGAAAGATGAAAACAGAATCTTGGGGTGGCAACAAGGTTCAGTGAGTAAAGATGCTTGCAGCCAATCCCCAGTACCCACATGGTAGAAGGAGAGAACCAGACCCATCCCTTTATCTGACTTACATATACGCTGGGTGGTGGTTGGGGGGCAAATAAACATAATGTTAAAAATCCCTAAAACTTAAAGTGTGTGTGTGTGTTACTTTTCTGTTGCTATGATTAAAAATACCACAACCAAAAGCAACATCAGAGCTTATTTTGGCTTATGGTTCCAGAGGGTTAGAATGATGGCAGGAAAGCATGGCATGCCAGCAGGAGGAAGAAGGTGACTCTGTACATTTCAGCCACACACAGAAAGCAGAGAGTGTGCAGGAAATGTGGCAAGACTATGACTCCTCAAGGTCCACCCTCAGAAAGGCTCCAAGTCCTTAAGAGTCTACAAAAAAAAAAAAAAAAACCCAAACCAAAACAAAAAACAAACAAACAACAGAACAAACAAACAAACAAAAACAGTATCACCCATTTGGAACCAAGGGTTCAAATCTGAGCTTACAGGGCCATTTCTCACTCAAACCATCTCACAAAGCAAAGGACAAGACCTATGAAGCAAGATTTAACTGTGACGACATGACAGTAGCAGAAGGGGTGACTGTGACTGCAAAGGCAACACAGAGAATGGAAAATGAGTTGGTGTGACTCATGTCCTGAGGACTCTAATGGCTTATTTTCCTCCCTGTCAACACAGTTCCTCTCACGGATGAAGAAGGGATCAGAGCTGTAAATCCATTTCACCCTTTGCCCTGCCTTCTAGCTTGTGATAAAGTTGTCAAGCTGTGCGACAGATTGAACTCTTTGCAGAGGTCCCTTCGATTGTGGATGTTATTTTTTTCCAATTCTCTTTTCACAGGCCATCGCAGCTGGGGCACTTGTACTGCTTGCTCACAGACAGTGGAGCCAGAGACACTTGGTAAATACAGAAATGTCAGCAGGGATGGTAGAGTGGTCTTGACAGTCGTGTGTGTGTGTGTGTGTGTGTGTGTGTGTGTGTATGTGTGAGAGTATTGTGAGTATGTATGTGAATGTGTGTGTATGTGAGTGTGTGTGAGTGTGTATGTGAATGTGTGTGAGTATGTGAGTGTGTGTGTGTATGTGTGAATGTGTGTGTGTGAATTGTGAGAGTGTGTGTGAGTCTGTGTGAGTCTGTGTGTGTGAATGTGTGTATGTGAGTATGTGAGTGTGTATGTGTGTGTGTGAATGTGTATGTGTGTGTGAATTGTGAGAGTGTGTGAGTGTGTGTGTGAATGTGTGTGAGTGTGTGTGAGTATGTGTGAATGTGTGTGAACTGTGAGTGTGTGTGTGTGAGTCTGTGAGTGTGTGTACGAGAGAGAGTGTGTGTGTGAATGTGTGTGAGTGTGTGTGTGTGAATGTGTGTGAATGTATGTGTGTGAATTGTGAGTGTGTGAGTGTGTGTGAGTGTGTGAGCGTGTGTGTGAGAGAGTATGTGTGTGTATGTGTGAGTGTGTGTGAATGTGTGTGAGTGTGTGTGAATGTGAGCATGTGTGTGAATGAGAGTGTGTGAGTGTGTGAGTGTATGTGAGTATGTGTGTGTGAGTTTGCGTGTATATGTGAGTTTGTATGAATGTGTGTGTGTGAGTATGTGAGTGTGTATGAATGTGTGTGTATGTGTGTGTGAATGTGTGAGAGAGAGTGTGTGTGAGCCTGTGAGCGTGTGTGTGTGTGTGTGTGTGTGTGTAAAGACTGGGTCTCATGTATCCCAGGTTGTGCTTAAATTTGTCATGTAGCTGATGCTGACCTCAAATTTCTAACCTTCCTTCTTCCATCTCCTAAGTGCTGGGATGACAGGTATGTGCCCAATTTTATAAACTATGTTTAAAATGTATAATTTTTATCCAGTTCTTACTCCAATAATTTCTCTAAGTTATGACTATTGTTTGGGGTCAGTACAACTAAATTTAATGTAGGGATGAAATGACATTCTCTTGTTTAAATAATGTAAGTGCCCATGGTATGTGAATGTTGGGGAGGGATGTAGATTGAACCCAAGACCCAGTGCCTGTTACACAAGCACCCTACCCACTGAATTATACCCCCAGACGTTCACATCTCAACTCCTCGGCCTGACATCACCTTCCAGGCTCTCTCAGATCTGAGAAAGAATGAGAACTCCAAGCTCTTCCCATGCCACAGAAGGAGTGCACTGTCTGCTTTTGGCCTCATTTCTGTGGCAAAGGCTGTAGACAGGTCAGCAGGACCTTGGCCCTGACTGAGAAGGTCTGGATAGGTCTGAAAGGCAGCCTTTCTGAGAGGCTCCTCAGCAGTGTAACACAACCCAACCACAGATGGCATCCTGAGTAGCGAGGTCCCAGAGAAGGTCTTTCTCTTCCCAACACCAACTGGTACTCTGTGTATGATAGGGAATAAACAAATATAACTTTATTGAATTGATTTCATATTAGATGAAATTGGTTGACATGATTTCCTCCTGTAGATTTTTTTGGTAGTGTTGTGGCCAAATTCTGAACCCCCCCCCCAAATCACCAAGAGACCCATTCCAATGCAAAAGCAAGTTTTCACAAGCTAACCCCATTAATTCGGGCCCATTGTCCATTCATTGTAGCAGATGACTGGGGAAAGACTCTGACTAACTGAAAGGGAGGGAATTCATAAGGCAGCATAAGGGAAGTGTCTAGGAGTATATAACAGTCTCGGGATTGGTGTGCTCCTGGGCTTGGACAACCCATTTTATTGGTCAACCGTTGCTATGACCCATAGGCCCTCCCAGGGTGTTTGCTATGCTCTGCATGTCACTGTTGTGCCATTTTTACTGTAAAGCACTCCCAGAGCCATAAAGCACATCCTGAGTCCTGCCAGCTAACTTCTGATTGGTTCCTTGCCGCGAGGACGGTATATGACCTCCTAGTGACTAGGGCAGACCTAACAAGGTCAGACATGTGCTGAGTCAGAGGCCTACATGTCTGTTCTGCAGCCTGTCATGGGGCTGCAAAAGAAGGGGCTGGCCCCTTCAGTAGTAAGGGAAAAGGGTCCTAAAAAGAAGGTTGAGGGGGCTAAGGGTAGAGTTCAGTATTAGAGTGCTAGCCTAGCATACAGAAGGCCTTGGGTCTAAATTGTAAGTGGCAGCACTAAGGGTGGGATGGTGTGAGGTGGGTAGGGTGGAGTGAGAAGTAATCCACTGTGGCACTCAAGATGTAGAAGCAGGAGTTCAAGGCCAACCTTGGCAACAGACACCAGCCTGGGTTACATGAGACTCTACCTAGATGAGATATAGAAGTTTCCATGTAAAGGAAATGAATGGCCACCAGCTGTCCCTTCAAGTAACACTTTGTTTCTGCTTATTTTCAGTGGGAAGCTGGCTTCACCTTCGTAATTCTGAGCTCTATGGGATGCCCACTTCATTTTGCAATAGCCTTGGAATCTGCCCTCCTCGGTCCATATTGCTTCTACTCCTTTTCAGGGGTGGGAGGAACCAATTATCTTGGGTATGCCATCACCTTTCCCTTCCCATACACAAAGTTTCCATCAGTCTGCATGGATCCGCTCCACTATGAAGAGTATCACCTGGCACTCCAAGCCCTGGACCTGTGCCTGAGCTTCATCCTGTTCTGTGTGTCCCTGGGAGTGTTCATCAAACTTTCTGCCGGACTGATGCAGAATGGACACATAAGTGTAAGATTTCAACAGAGGGAGGCTGGACTTGCTCAATCCTGAGTGGTGAAGGGGAAGGCTGATGGGGCTCCCTAAGAGTTCTCAATCTATCCGCTGCATGGCAACCAGGGTCCAGCATGTTACAGGCACTCAATAATTGATTTGGGATGAATGGGGGTGGGGTATGGAGGGACTAAATGGTTCATTCCCCAATAGTAGGCACCACTTGCAATTTTTATCTCAACCTCAACTGCGTATAGGAATAAGACAATGGTACATATGCAATCTCACCTCTTCAGTGTTTATCTCTTTCTAGTTCCCCTTCTACTTTCATGTCTCTCTCTCTCTCTCTCTCTCTCTCTCTCTCTCTCTGGTGCATATATATGTACATGCATGAGCTCAGTTGACCCAATGGGTTTCACTGAGGTTTCTTTAGGATCATGGTTAAGAGGACATTTACTGGAACATGGGAAGTTAACCAGTGGCTACACCACTGAAGAAAACATCTCCCATTGCTCCAGTAATCATTAACTACCGAGAGTCCCCATGGAAGGGGTGAGACCTCTTGAGTGCCTCCCCAGTCCTCCCCATGGCAGAGTGTTGACTGATCCAGTCTTGGGAACAGGTCTTAGGTCTTGTTCAAGTAAGGGCAGCAGCTGTGAGTTCATGAGCTTACTGGCCATGTTGTGTCTAGAAGCATTTCACAGCCTGCCTCGCAATCCTCCAGCTTTTGCATTCTCCCCCAGCCATGCATGTTTAGGCTGAGCATACAATTGTCACACTCAGCACTTTGAGCAGTTGTGAATCTGTAGTAGATGCCATCTTCTACAAAGTAAGTATTTTCAGAGGAAGACTGGGCTTCAAAAGGCAACTCCTGCCTCATGCCACACATGGGGTAGTGCCACAACAAAATGCTGTACAATCTGCTATGTGAAATAAAAAAGTCAGATTCATGGAACAGAGGGTAGTGCAGTTATTGACAGATGTTGGGGGTTCAAGAAATGGGGAATATCTTTGTTAAAGAATATAAATTTTCAGATGTATGTAAGTGGTTTGGGGAGTATAATGTAATCATGAGGCTACAGATAACACTACTGCATCACACACACACAAGATTTGCTAAGAGAACACACACAATACATTAATATATATGTATATACATACATACATACATACACACATACATAATGTGTACAATTATGCTATTCTGATCAGGGTCTGGCCTTATACTCTGCATCCTCATAACTTAGCTTTCCAAATGCTTGGACTGTGGGTATGAGCCAGTACATCTGGTCTTTAGGAGTAAATCCTATATGAATGCACATGTGTGAATTGGGGATATACTGCCCATGTATGCATGTGGAAACCCAAGGAAGATGTTAAGTGACTTTCCTTATTGCTCTCCTCCTTTGAGGCAGGATCTCTCAATGACCCAGAAACTTACCTATTGGACTAGACTGGCTTACCTGTGAATTCTTGGGATATGCCTGTTTCTACCCAGCTTTTATGTGGGTGCCCATGCTCCCAGGTTTGCACAGCAAGTGCTCTCTTACCCATTGAACCGCCTCCCTAGGTCCCTTAAGTAGTAAGCCTTAAGTGTTCTCACCATGTAAATACGTGCTACAAACACACACAGTAATGTGTGAGCTGACTGACCTGATGACAGGTTCGTTAACTTGACTGTGGAAAGACTTTTGCCGACACATTGTATTGCACAACTTCAATTTAGATGGTATTACTTACCAAGTTTGTTTCACTATATCTGAGAAAAGTTTCTTACTTACAGAAGATGCCTGTGCCCACCCTATTCTTCATAGGGTGTAAGAGCAGGGTGGGTGTTTCTTCTGGGAAAATGAGTATTAAAATAAACTTACCTCAAATTTCAAACCTTAAAAAATAGTTTTGCTTTATGTCGCAAGTCGGTATCTCTGTAGCTCAAACTAACCTGGAACTCACTATGTAACTAGGATGACTTCAACATCTTGGCAATCCCAGCCTCCTATATACTGGAATTATGGCTGTGCTTCACTGTTCCTGACTCTCACACTCACATATTTTTAAATTTTTAATTCATGTATGGATGTTTTATCTATATGTATGTCTGTGGAGCACATCATGCAATGTCTGTGGAGGCCATGGAACTGGAGGTACTGATGGTTGTGAACGGTCACGGGGTGGGTGCTAGACACAGAAGCTGAGTCCCTTGTAAGAGCAGCCAGTGCTCTTGCCTGCTGAACATCTTGCCAGCCACAAACCAAAATTTAAATCATGTTTTAACATGTTCCTTTGTAATCCCTTTGGTATTAGAGTAAAGTTAACCATTTGCTTTATTTTACCACATTAAGCTTTACCATGTAATTTTTTCTTAAATAGAGATTACTAAAAGTTTTGTGGAAACTGACTGTAGAAACATCTTCTATGCTTTAAATATTAGTCAAATATGGATTTTAATTTGGAGGCTAAACAACACAAAGAAGTTCTCTTAGAGTTTCTGTTTGGGTCATGATAGCGAAGTTTGCATATCACAAACCAAGCTGAACTTCCTACTTCTTCCAAGAGGGCTAGTTACAATAGCAATGCATGATCTTAGCCAGCTTCAGACTATGTGGTGCTGTTTGCATCTTACAGGTTATATGCTCTGCCTAACCAGTTCATTTAAGGGCTGGGGGTGTTAGAATACTTGCCTAGCATACACAAAGCTATGTGTGTGTTCCTCAGCACCACAAAAACTGGGTATGGTTTGCACACATCTGTAATCCAAGCTCTCAGGAGGCAGAAGCAAGAGGATCAAGAGTTCAAAGTCATCCTGGCTATATAGAAAATTCAACCCTCATGAGGTGCATGAGACCAGCCTCAAACAAACCAGGGAAAACATAACTTGCCTCAGATCACCCAGCTAAGGGGCAGAATCCGTTTGAGAATGCAGGGCACCTTCTGACCAAGCCTGGTTCATCTGACTTGCCTTTTTGCTTCCTTATTACTACTGCTGGCCTGCTGGCCTGCTGGCCCTAGCCCTAGCCCAGCCAGGCTTGAAGGTGGAAGACACAAGTGACTTGTGCCCCTGCCTCTTCCAGGTATGGCTGATAACAGTCCTGTGCTGTTGAAGAGCCTTCCTCAGGCAGGAATGTTCCCACTGCAAACTCTGCTTTTGTGATTCAGATTTGTATCTACTGGGGTCAGGCAGTGCCCACTGGTTTATTTTCTTCCAACTTGGTTCTGTGTACCCCAACCGCCAAGCAGGAATATAGGAAGTTGGCACTCTCAATACCTTTTGTGGTCAGTCTCATCCTCGCAGGCTTCTACATAAGTCTACAAAGGAAATCCTGTCCATTCCTAAAGCAGAGCTGGTTTTACAGGCAGGCCTGCCAAGCCAAGCCAAGCCAACCCACACCGCCTCAGTCCCTGAACTACCAGGGCATTTGGAAATTTAGGACTTGAGGTTTCACCCAGATAGTGAATAGCCCACATCTTCTAGAGTTCTTGTTAGATATGACCTGTGACTATGAGAACCAGTGAAGCACCAGCCATCATAATCTCCACTATAAGGAGGCATATGGCTGTCCTCCTTATGTGTGATGCTGGAAATACCTACACTTGGCATGGATGGAGGGTAGGGAGAAAGGAAGGAAAACTGGATGAAGTGTTTGCTAAGTGACCTCAAAAGCTATGCGGGGAGGCTACCTGAAGCCCCTGGAGAGAGCAAATGAACAGGAAGCAGAAGTTGTAACTTGTAGGTCTCAACTCTTTGGGGCTCGAACGACTTTTTCACAGGGGTGGCATATCAGACATCTTACATATCACATATTTGCACTACGATTCATAACAGTAGCAACATTACAGTTAAGAGTAGCAAGGCCATAATTTTATGGCCAGGGGTCACCACAACATGAGGAACTATATTAAAGCATCACAGCCTTAGAAATGTTGAGAACCACTGGGCTAGAGAGACAGTGCACCATCTTGAAAGTCACTCTTATTGCTCCAGCAGAGCTTCTCAGCCCACAGAACCCACGGCTACTGTAATACACTTCTCAGAGCACGCGACATCAGAAGCACTCTGGCAGGTTAGACCATTTGCGTGTTATCTGTTTTGAGATAGTGTCTCCTGTAACCCAGTCTCAAGCTCACTGCATAGCTCAGGATGACTCTGGTCCTCCGCCTTCACACCCAGGGTACTGGAACTACAGACAGGCTCTAATGAGCCTGGCTTCAGGGTTCTTATTAAAACATATTTCTGGACCCCACCTGAATCCAGTGTCAGAATCCTGAGAAAAAACACAAACAATATGCATTTTTAACACACATCCTGGGAAATTCTAATAGTTATAAAAGTCAAAGAATTGACATTATAACTTGTTTCTTTCTTTCTTTCCTTCCTTTTTTTTTTTTTTTTCTTGTTTCAAACTAAAGTATCAAATAACCCAGGCTAGCCTTGAACTTGCAATGTAACCAAGACTAACCTTGAACTGGTTGACATTCCTGCTTCTCCCTCCTAAATTCTGGGATTGTAAGTGTGAACCACTACACCTGGTTTATAAAGTGGTGGGAATTAAAATCATGGGCGCATGCATACTAGGCAAGTCCTCTACCAATTGAGCCATGTCCCCAGCCCCTTAGACCATATTTCTTTATGAAAGAATCTCCTCATGCTACCATTTCTGGACAGAGGTCCCATCTCCCTATCTGCTTACAATGCAGCACCAAATTTAGGTAAACATCTAGATAAACTTACTAAGTGGCATTTCCTGACAGAGCAATTTTGGATGATTTGACACTGCTTAATCCAGAATGGCAGCAGATCGAGTTTCATTAGCCACTATGTGGGACTGACATAATGGGACCTGAAGGTCTACATTAGTAGACATGGCTCTGCCCCTTGGTGCATATTTGCACAGCCCAACCAAGCCAGTCTTCACATCTCAAAATATTGGACACAATTTCCAGCAGTGAAATTAGTATATTATATATCAAAATTTCAAAAAATATAGGCTTAGAAGAAATTGATGTACCTAGGTATAGACCCCTCCATGTATAATGAGCCAACAGACAGCTATATAGGTTTTTTTCCTTTATAACATTTATGTTTAAGGGGGATGCTCAGGTGCCCATGGCAACTGCAATACACTCAATATGTATGTGGAGGTCAAAGGACATCTTCTGGGAGCTGGATCTCTCCTTCCACTATGAGAACTCTGGGAATAGAACTTTGGTCATCAGGCTTGGCAGCAAGCCTACTCACCC